CCCTGCTGGGTCACATGTTGCGCACGCCAATACACCGACTCCCGCATCGAGCGTTCTTTGCGCGCCTGGGGTCCGGATGGAAAAGGAGGGGACGCCAAGCGATGAGTTGCTCAAGATGAATGAAGTCCCTCACACCGAGGTTGGTGTCAGTTAGTGTCCCCGACTGTCGCAGTCCGAAGGACGATGAACACGTTTGGTTCATTTTACACGTCAGTTAGAAGTGGGAAGCACCTCAGCTACTGCGCCTCAAAAGATAAAATAAAAGAACGGAAAAAATGCAACAGGTGCAAGTCAGCTGAACTACCGGCAACGGATGTGCATCGTTCCGGTGAGCTACCAGCCGGCTACTATGCAGGGAAAAAATTAACTATGCAATATCATAAAAGGCTAAGCAGTGAGATCGTGGTTGGAGGGGGAGGCTAAAAGGCATGGGAAGGGACAAAGAAACTCACAACAAGAACGCCATTGAAGTCGGATACTTGGCATGTCAGCAAGTGTATCCAGGCAAACGTGTTCATCGTCTTTTGGACCCTAACCAAGGAGCCGAGACGCTCAAACCCAGACCAGCTTCGAAGTGAGGGCCTTCATTCCTCTCGATCAAGTCATCGCTTGGCCACCCCTCCTCTTCTTTCAACCACAACCCCGGTGCGCAAGTCCGTGGGCTGACATGCGTAACACGTGGCCGAGCCATCCGAGCCTGGTGCGTGAAATAACTGTGATGACCGTTCATTTGCTTTTCCTGTGCCATAAACAAAGCGTCGAACACGCTCGTTACTCACGCCATGTTCCCACCAGATGTGAGCCCAATTGCGAAAGCCCCGGTGGTCGAACGTAACTAGCCTCTTTATATCCACTGATCCTAAGGGCCAGGTTTCACAACAGTACAGTAGGGTCGAACGTACCGCTGCATTGTACACTCTACCCTTCAGAGCGAGAGTGATGTCGCGCCGGCGCCATAAGTGGCGATCGTTAGCAAAAGAGCCTCGAGCTTTTGCTACACGGTTCGTTATCTCATCTTCGATTCCGCGGGCGCTGATACAAATTCCCAGGTAGTTGAAGTTTTGAACGACTTCTAGCTGATCCCCACCAACGGTCAGCGAAGGAGGCGGTCCAGGACAATCTTGGATAAACGCTTTGCACTTCGAGGGTGCGAAGCAAAGCCCCAAGTAACGGAGAGCCAGTGATAATCTGTCCAGTGCAGCTTGGCACATTTGTGAGCTGTCACAGATGAGGGCAATATCGTCCGCATACTCCAAGTCAAGAAGTCGTTCTCCTGGTAGCAGATCCACACCTTCTAAGTCGTGTCCTGTGAACGCGATTTCCATGATTTCGTCAATAGCGAAGTTGAAGAGGAAAGGTGACAGTGGGCATCTTTGCCTTACACCGCTGGAGATATTGAAGGACGAGGAGTGCTTGCCGTAACCCCCCACTCTGTGCGAGCTACGCGCGTATAATGCTCGGATAAAAGTTCCATATTTCTCGGGCACACCTTTCCTGCCTAGACAGTCCCAAACAACACACCGATCCACGGAACCGAATGCACCTTTGATATCGAGGAACACGACAACGGTGGGCCGCCAATAATACGTGGTTAGGCACATTTGTTGACATGGCAAGAAACCGATCACAATGTCGGTTGTGTTGTGAGCCTCTTCGTCTCTACCCTCCTCTTTAGCTTCCCTCTCTAGCAACAAATACCCCCATGCATATGATATTTAGCAGTACATTGTTTTTTAGTCTCTAATGTCTAATATCTTGTATTGCGGCGCAATAATTGTGATGTATTACTCACCATCAGTTAACGTGTATAAAAAATACCATTCGTCCTCCTCTCCATATAACTTGAATTCCATTATCACAGGGGACTTGGTTCATGAAAAGACACCGTATCAGTAGTGTGTCACTCAATTATGTGTAAAAATGCGCCAACGGTTTGGTTTGCTGTACCGGAATATGAGATCGACTAGAAAGATGCAAAATGAGCTGCTTTTTACGGAGCGCTTCGACCAACTCAAGGAGCTGTTCTAAGACGAGATTTTTGCGCTGATCCGTCTCCCCAGAATGCGCATGTTTGGCTACCCGTATCAATGCACACGCGAAACACTTGATGGTTTAGTCTAGTTGTTGGTATCGCGCATTAAACTGCCCGCGAATATGCTCCAGTGCACGTGGACAATACAACAGACGGCACAAAGCGCTGAGAATGCCCACCGTTGATTCCTGTTCCAAGGGTTGGCTGCTTGCAGTGATGTTAAAATCCTCGTTCGGCAGTAAGCTCAATGCATCGTCGTTGCGACGGTGGGAAAGGTTGCACGGTTTCTCCTACATTAAGCGTGGCATCCCAAAGAGGATTCATATATCACCGGAGTTATGGAAGTGCATAGTTAGATAGGTGCATGCAGTGCTCTTATCTAAGACGTTAGACGACGCATCCAGTTTTGACGACTTCGCCGTCGTGCATAGAAGCTTCTTCCGACTACTTCGTTGTTTTCGACTCTAACAGTGTCGTCAGTTTATAACAGAAATCCCAGAAGCGACGCAAATTTGGTAAACATGGACACTATAAAGAATAAACCTAAGAATAGAAAGGTCGACGCGGTTAACAATTATCGTTGGTTTCGTGTCCTTTTTCAGCAATTGCAAAGGAGAGAAATTCTACAACGTGACCGGAAAGCGCCGTTACAGCAACGGTACAAATTAAAAATCACGCGCCAATATAGATTCTATCGTTCCTCGCAAGCAGTAGGCCAATTCATTCATGTGTATCTGAGTAGCAAAGCGCTTTCTTCTCATATTCAGTAGCATTCAATTTTGCGGCCCGTCTCCACGAGAACACTGGGTCTAACTTGAAGGCGACGGTCGAGATAATTAATTTATATGCCAAACATAGTTTGTTCTGCTACGTCAAATTAACTGGAGACCCATAGTGTACATTACATCTAGAATATCAATTTGTAAATTGAAAAGTTATTTACAAGATCACGCTTATCAGGCAAGGAATATGTATTTCTCTTCCATCCGAAATTGATTAGGTGAGGGTGGTGTTCACATTCCAGAGTGAATTGCGAACTGACGAACAGATAAGCATAACTGTGTAAAAGCGAGACACGGATACCCAGCTGTCCGAAAATTTACAAGCCAGATCTCCTCAGCCGTATCAACGGTAAGTGCTTTTGGCCGCAGATAAGTAGTGTAATGACAGCCAGACAGTTTATGTCCATCTAAGTTCAATACGCCCAAAGCGCAGAGTATAAAGGAATGGAAGAGAGACTGAGACTGTAGTTAAGAGCAAGTAGAAAGGTTTCTGTACAACTTTATCGAATTACGAAAAATCAAAAACATTTAGTTGTGAATCATCAGCAGTTCTGTCTGGTCCGTTAATCGTTTATCCGTGTTCGGTTAGGAATATGTACTGGTGTCATTATTTCTGGGCATACAATGTCTTCCTTTGGGCATTGTATATGCATCGTTTCACAAAAGCACAGGTTTCCGAAATAATCGTCGATACGGGTTTTAAAACACTTCACAGAATTGGCCTTTATTAATCCTTCTGGTAGGGTATTCCATAAGTTTACGATTCTTCATTCGATACAAAGCTGATGTGATACTTTGTTCATGCTGGGGACCCTGAGTTTATAACGATATCCTCGGGTGTTACAGGGTCCCCGCAAGTGAAATATTCGCCGCAGTATGGGGAAGTGATTTAAGTGTAGTACTCGATGGGTTATAGTAAGGTCAATTCTTACTCGGCGATAGGATAGTGTGTAGAGTCCGAGCCTTTCACAACGTTTTTCATACGGAAGCTTTCGTAGACTTGGTATGATTCTAGTTGCGATATGCCGTATTTTCTCCAGCTTTTCAAATTCCCACTGGGTTATCGGATGGTAAGCTGGGGCACCGTATTCAAGGATTGGTCTAATGAGCGAGGTGAATAGACGAGGGACGGTTTCTTCGGACCATGTGGAGAAACTGCGTCTTAACGCCCAGATCATACGAAGTCCCGCACGGTACAATTTCTCTGTATTTTCTAGTGATCTCAAATCATGTCGTGAGAGAACTCCTAAGTCTCTGACAGATGTATTGGGATGGATCAACTGGCCGTCCAAGGTGCATGATCGAGTGGCTGGACGTCTGGTGATACTGATGAACTCTGACTTGTTTGTGTTAAGAGGGAGTTGCATTTCGATGGACCACGTTGACAGTCGCTTTAAGTCATGAGGATTGCTGCTATGGACCAGTGTCATAATCTTAGTAGAGCATCGCTCCCCCAATGGCTAAGGTGGCGTCACTGTTGTGGTCTGAACACCTAATGGATGCTCATACGAACGGTCACAGCAGTAAACGTGGGCTGAATACATTGACCGAAAATTCAAACACATCTAGAGTTACATCGTGTCCGGAGCAATCTACGAGAAGCCTAAGTCTGGAAACAAGGGACGGTGAGCTCCTTAGAGAGCGGAATGGATTCACAATGCACACGTCTGTACGGTAGCAGGTGTGATGTGAGTGTAAAGACTGCGGCAACTGGCCACCGTATACAACGTGACCGGATGGCTGTTAGCACGGTAACAAAGCACGCCAGCACAAGTCCTGACATCGCCAAACCGTGTGACAAGCAGCGTACATCCCGTGGCGGGATGGACACCAATGCAACCGTGGGACCGTCAGTGAAGTAAGGGATTTGGGACTTCCTGTGCCATTTAAATGACGCCTCGGTGTATGCTAGATAGATAACTGATCGAAGCCCAGCTCCCCCTTTGGCGCATTCGAGGAGCTAAGCTGCAGTAAAAACATCGTGATGGGTGAGAAGGACTATACTACTGCCTAGTCAATTCTGTTGCACAAGAATGAGGAACATGTGCAGAAAGACTCCGTGGCGAATAAGCGCCCAGAATCTTACACATGAAATAGAGTTACAAAATAGTTTCCTATATCGAAGCCGCGATGAAAAATCTAGAAATGCTGATGTACGTGGACATCATACACCAAAAACGCATAGTACAGGCAAGAAGTGTTGTACCATCCCAGCTGAAGATGCGTGCGAGAGGCGAGAGCATATGTTACAGGCAAAATGTAGGAGGGAGATGTGAAATCGTAAACACTGTGTAGTTCGTGGGGAGCAAAAAGTGAAGTGACAATAACAACTGTGGTGGGTATAAAATCACTGGGCGGAGGGATTAAAGTTCTGATTTCGGATTGCCCTGCAAAGAAAAGGTAATAGGAGGATAAAGTCTGGGCGGTAGTTCTGAATAAATACGGAAAATGAAATACAGAGGATACGAAACCTGGGTTACCACAGGTCGATAAGGTAATCCTCATAAAATAGGAAAACCACACTACGATGGTCTGAACGTGCTGAGACAAGGACTCATATCCACGCAAGTGTAAGAAATTGCACACACAAACAGACGATATCCTACGAAACCGCGGTTAGAAGAAAGATGAAAGTAGATAAGCTCAATCCAGTGGACCAACTGTGTGATTCGATCGTCAGGACAACAATATGTAACACGAGTGTGGAGAGTGACACGGTGAGCACGCAAACGAGAAAAAGGTGGATGGAAGTAATCGATCTGCATTACAAACAGCAAGGTGTGAAAAGCTGAACACAGCAGTGTGTCACGGCGTGTGCGACTACGCCAAAACTAAGAAGTCTCTGATTATTGATGCAGTTCATGCGCGAAGAAGGTATGCATCAGTTCATCCAAGCACTTCAAAGAAGTTATCCACATCATTTTGTCAAGCGATCGCCTGGTCACCTAGCGATTTCAATCAAATAGGTGCAACATAAATGGCACAACGAGGAAGGCAATCAACATGCGTACAGAAGTCATGACCTACTCAAAAATTTAAACGGTTTAAGTCATGTGGACACTTCATAGATGTACCAAGGGATTTGCCCCCCAAAACACCAAACGATGGGCTCCAGTTGTTCACTCGTTGCTCCACTATATGTGACAAACACTACAAACATCAGTGATCACTGGTGTTTTCAATACGGTACGATAAAGCTACTCAAATATATCGTAACATGTGGACCGCAGAATTACACGCCCTACCTGCGGCGAAAATGCGGATATCGCACTGTTTCAAAAAAAGGAAAGCCGAGCGAGCGTTGCGGATAAGTGATTTGACTACCAGAATTGATATAGCTACAAGGATAAGCGAACCGATACAGTACACCGCACAAGCCCATCAAAAACAGCTTCCATTATAAAAATGGGCGTTGAGATTGGGGATCACAAGCCGCTGTCTGTCGGACGACACGCGTGGCTCGTGGCATGAATACAAGCGCGTTTGATCCAGCGGGCCCGCATTAGTTGCGTGCACACATTACAGTCGTGATCCACTATGTGCCGTGCTATTATTTACCCTGTGAGAAGTGTGAATCACCCTGAGTCTTCCTTTGCAGAAACGCCCCATGGAGGCTGGGTAGAACGAAAAAAGAAGTTATACCAGCGGAAATATCATCAGTAATCCCAGTACACACGTGAGGGGTAGCACACTCAATTGGTGATTTGTACTACGACCGTGATCATAGACAAAACTATCTATCGTGGGCCATAGTAATGGTCGTGGGTTGCTGTGGTTTCGTTATGTACGAAGTGATGGGTGGACCTCACAGTTGGATAGGGCACAGAAACCAACTTCGCCCACGCCACGATAATGTCACAAGTACATTTGTATAAGAACTCCTAATAAAAAATTTAGACACGTTCGGGCTTACGCCAAACACACTTACAGAAGTACCACGCACATCGCTGGATTGGATCACACAGAAACCCAGAAGATGGACCGAACGAAAACATCATCCAACAAAATCCTTGCAGAAGCAAGATATCAACGGTATGATCCTTCTTAAATTGTTGGGAAAACGCTAGATCTCGCAGAAATATACTGGAATCAACCTAAATAGGAATATTTTATTAACTGCCATTTCGATTTTTAAACGTTGCACGTAAATCCGTTCCTGCGTTAGAGCAGTATTATGAGTAGCCGAGCTCACAAGACCGTTAGAGGACTCATAAATATGCACGAATGTTTCATTAGTTGTCGCCTCAGTTGGCATCTTAATAGATCTCGTTTAGAAGTCTTATCTTCTGCCTTGTTATGGTTGGGACTACACACTGGGAGCCGAATTTGTGTTCGTCCGTCTGACTTATGAGTTCATTGTGAGCTTTCCATTCCAGTGTGTTAGTTCGGAATTGGGGTAGCGGTGGTTAGATCGTAACAAATTGGTAACCATCGGAAGTTATTCCGTCTGATAAGGGATACGGGCAGCAGGAGACCTGGTGTTAGTGAAACTATACGTGACGAGAGTGGACAGCCTAACCACAACTTGTCAAAACGCTTGGAGCGTTGGGCTGAGCACTTTGAAAGGCAATTTAATCGGTCGGAATTGTTAGATTTCTCGCCAGCCACTGATCGCCCCACTCCGTGGGCTGCCCTTTGGATCCACCCTCTCGCCCAGAAGTCGAATGCGAGATAGCCCCGCTGATGTTAAATAAAGTCGCGGCACCAGATGATCTTCCTTCAGTCCTCCTTAAATTCGGGGGCCCTGCACTTGTGGATGATTTACACGAGCGACCAGTGAAACTGTTGGAGCAGGAAACTGTCCCAACCGACTGGAGCCACTCCGTCATAGTCCCAATTTTCAAGGGAGGCTCACGATCGAAATGCGCCAATCATTATCAGTCTCATCTCCATCGCCTCCAAATCGCTCGCCTCTGTCATAATTCACAGACTGACTGGCACTCGCGAAAGCCAGATTCGTGAAGAGCAAGCCAGGTTTCGTTGAGGTGGTGGCTGCATCGACCACATCTTCACCTTGAATCAGTTGTTGGAGCACCGTCACATATATTGGCGGCCCACCGTTGTCGTGTTCCTCGATATCAAAGGTGCATTCGGTTCCGTGGATCGGTGTGTTGTTTGGGACTGTCTAAGCAGGAAAGCTGTGCCCGAGAAATATGTAAACATTATTCGAGCATTATACGCGCGTAGCTCGCACAGAGTGAGGGTTTACGGCAAGCTGCCGTCGTCCTTCAATATCTCCAGCAGTGTAAGGCAAAGATGCCCACTGTCACCTTTCCTCTTCAACTTCGCTATTGACGAAGTCATGGAAATCGCGTTCACAGGACACGACTTAGAAGGTGTGGATCTGCTCCCAGGAGAATGACTTCTTGACTTAGAGTATGCGGACGATATTGCCCTAATCTGTGACAGTTCCCAGACATGCCAAGCTGCACTGGACAGATTATCACTGGCTCTCCGTCACTTGGGGCTTTGCTTCGCACCCTCGAAGTGCAAAGCGTTTATCCAAGATTGTCCTGGACCGCCTCCTTCGCTGACCGTTGGTGGGGATCAGCTAGAAGTCGTTCAAAACTTCAACTACCTGGGAATTTGTATCAGCGCCCGCGGGATCGAAGATGAGATAACGAACCGTATAGTAAAAGCTCGAGTCTCTTTTGATAACCTTCGCCACTTATGGCACCGGCGCGACATCACTCTCGCCCTGAAGGGTGTTCAGTGCTGGAGGTCAGAGGCCGTTCGTCAGTGCCCTCTAACACAGCTACGTCACTTGCTGGTAGCAGGCGACGCTTCACGTAAGCAAAAAGCTTCTTGCGTGCCCTCTTCGTTGAGGTTGCAAACTCCTCTTCGAACTGCTGGTGCTTTCGCGTTTTTTCATAGATTGCGCCGCCTTTTGTACGCCTCATAATCTTTGGCAGAGCCAGAGACGAGGAATCTATTCCACAATTCGTGTCGCCGTCGAACCAATTGACTACACTCTGTCGAAGCAATGTAGCTTTACTGGTCCAGCTTTCCGATACTTGAGGGGTAGGAAACGAGCACACCCACATTATAACCGACGAGCAGGTTTCAACAGATGAATCCTGCGGCAGAAACCAGTTTACTTCACTGGCGGCTAGATTTAGACCATTGAAATCGGTCTTTCAATAAATGTGGGACGGCTCCGGCAGACGCAAGTAGGGCAGCGGCAGCTCCAGGCTGGCTAACACCATCGATTGGTCACTAGCTGCCAGAGGTTACAAGATCTGAATTTCATGTACACGTTGCTCGCAACTCGTTAGTAGTAGGTCCAGGCACGATAGAGCAGAATGCGGTGTAACGCGCGTCGGTTGGCAGACATGTGCTGCCCTTGTTTCCAATAGCATTTAGGCAAACTGCGACAGGACATTACAGTGCCCGGGGAGAAGTTGAACCTCAGGCTACCGCATTCGAGGGAAGCTAAAATCACCCATAAGCAGGAAGCGGGACCGATGCACATAGTTTCTGGCATGCGGCAACCAAGCATCAACTTCGCGGGCTGCGATAAGCAGCACCCACAAACAGTTCACCCTGTCTAGGGGCGGATCGAGTACCATAACTGCTCGCATAAGCCATCTTCGCTACGGTAGGTGTGTATCAGTCTATCGCACAGTATAGACCGAATGCATAACAGCAATCCACCGCGCTTGTTTGCTAGTCTGTCGCACCGGAAGCACGAGTAGCCACTAATTTGGAATTTCTCAGGATTTGACCAGGCTTCGGCCAGTCATAGTAGGGTCGGACAACGAGAGGCAATGAAGTGAAATACGTCACATTTGTACATTAAACCACAAACGTTTGTGAAGGCTATGTGCAGGCCGCGGTAAGAACCGGCAGACGCGCATGAAGCGTCATTGATCGGTTGATCCGGGTTCAGCGGACCGGAGAACTACCCGAAAATTTACGACGTGGGGATTGGTTTCCCCCCTATCAGTCCGCCGCTTCAACTCCACGATATCGGACTTCAGTTTCTCTCTGTCCGACGGATCCAAATCAGGACGAATATGGATCTTCAGACCGCTTAGCCTACCGAGGCGGGATAGGATCAGCCTTAGACTCGTTACATAAACAAAGATGACTCGCAGAGGCCGGGATTTCCCCATCTCTCTCTTTCCAAGACGGGTGAGTTGCTTCACACGCAACCCGTATGCATTCACGTTGAGAAGCCTATCAATCAGGTTCTGAGGAAAATCCACGCCGTGGTCTTAACTAGCCTGAGTAATACCATCTGTCGACTCAAGCACGTGAAATATCTGAAGGTTACAACGCCGCTGATTGCTGGCATTTCCTCTCCTTTTTGTTTCGCTGCATTTTCCACTTGCCTTCAACCCTTGCGTTATCGCACACTGGTATGTTAGTGTCCATAGGAGGCAACACAGGCTCGGCAGCTGAGTCTCCAGCAACGGGTGGACATCGCGCAGGAGAGTTTGCAGCCGGTGTGCAGGTGGCGCGTTCGAACACAGAGATGGCTGGGTTTCTGCTTTCTTGGATGAACCCACGGAGCTCCTCCCTAGAAAAAGTTTCGGTCCTTTTGTAGGCTCGCGCAGCTCCTCGGCTGTTTGTGACTGTACAGTGGCTTGGCATTTCTAGCGCAATGTTTGGACAAAGTTATGCTGGATTTCACGCAGTGGTTTAAAATGATCTAAAGACAAACCAATGCACGAAATGTGGAAATTCCCATCACACATGAGGCATGTAACAGCATTGGCTCTATGCCCAACTATTTTGCAACAAGTGCCACAGGAAGTCAGCTTAGCAGATGTGACGGTAAAGGTAATAAAGTGAACGATACGTACACGACAAAACTACCGGAGTAAAATATACGGATACGAAACTAATACACAATAACCAAATTCAGGATCGCAAAAAAACTGAATTTGACAAAAATAAACACGAAAAATCTGCTCTGCACAAAGTACTGAACGATATAAATTGGCCTGTCAAACAGAGCGAGAAAAGCCGTCCGGCGAGAGCTATTCGCAGTCGAGAGTGAGAGAACGCTGACCAAGATTCCGTCATAAGGTTTTATTTCACGCAAAACTAGGAATTTGACTTGTACTTGACTTTTGCAACACGGTCCATACAGCGTGATAAGGTCGATCCAAACATAAAATTGATTAGTATCTTTCTCACTCTCAGCAACAACACGAACATTAGACGCTGTTTAGCCATAGGCAAAGGTTAACCTTTTGTTTTCGTAAATGAGGTGCAGATATTTTACCCAACTTTCGACTGAGGCCAAAGGAAATAGTGGTTAACCAGACTTGGAAGTGACTCTCTTTAAGAACCAAAAACTTCAAGAAACGTACTAAAAGGCCACTGAATGACCGCAGATTAGCGTCCGACGACTGTCAAGCCAGAGCTTAATTTTAAGCCATTCAAGGAAACTGCTCGACAGGCCAAAGCATCGTATACGGCAATCGCATAAGCGAATTATAAGAGACTATAGATTGAAATTGTGTCTACTTTCATGTGTATTGCTCGGATGATACACTTTTCAACTACAAGTAGATTTATGTTAGATAGCAGCAAACTGGAAACAAATGATGTCAATGACGAGATTGAAGTGCTAGATGACAACAAAGGCCACAGATGTGAATAAACAATGCAGACCGGCCAAATACACTTGCCATGAGCAGCGGCTTCGGGCGAAAGATGAAAGTGTGGTACTCGCTAATATTCGCTCTAGGTTTGAAAACAAACTGCTGTGTTCCAATACCGGTGTAAGCAGCAGGATCTAAAGAGTGCTCCAGAAGAGCAACAAGTTCACAGCTACAATGAAGAGAAGAAAAACGAGCGATTACTATTTAATGGTTTTATGGAGGAGAGGTAAAACTCATACCGACTACACGCACCCGATGAATCGGCTCATTAAGGAGCCACTCAGTCGAAAAAGCGGAGAGGACGAAAATTCGTGTCTCACCAGAACCATTTGCGGGTGATCCGATGGGAACAACGTGAGATGCAACGCCGGAACAAATTCGTCGTCTGTGTCCACGTCGATACTGATCTATCGACGCAGTATAAAGGAGAATAATGGCAGGAGTCAATAAGTGAGCTCATGAATCATAGGATGGAAATTGGAAAATAACATTCCGAGGAGCACAATGAAAACTGAAGCAAAAATGTGTAGTGCTCACCGTGGACATGTACATTTGGGGTAGAGCGATGAAGGTCAGGCCTGCGGCATCATGGGAGGGCATAAGTAAGTGAATTGAGGGAGGGATAGTACGGTCGATGACAGGGTTGGTGGATAGCAGGGGTTCATTCGAGCAATGACGAGGGATTTGACCTGATGGAGTAGTGTGCACCGTTATGCTGTACGTACAACCTGGAGTAAGGATAAGTGGGGCGATTGAAAGCGATGAAGCAAACGGGGGAAGGATACAGTTCAGACACAATACTAACGAGATTGTGGGAACTTACCAGGCAAGAGACCGCGGATAAGGAACCGACCGTCTAGATCGCTCCAGGATTGTTCCCGGGGAACGTTAGAAGCATCTTCTGGTGTGAGCCGACAGGTGTTAGCTGGTGGCACAAAATTGACAATGTGCGAAGAGGTTGTTAAATTTGGAAGCCACTGCGCCTCGACCAAGACATTTTCCAGTGGCGACTGATCCAATGAAATCACCTGGATGGACACAGAAAAAGTACTGTACTTGAAACAAGAGAAATGAAAAGAACGGGGAAAAACCAAATCAGTCAACATGGATGGAAAGTTGTGAAATGGGACTGCGCCAACAGCTCCCGTAGATGACATCACAACTATTCAACCAGTAAAGCCGGGTAATTGATCAGGGTGACATTCGCAGTTACTTAATCGGTAATTAAAAAAGGTAAGCCTGATTGTTGATTGGCCATATCATCAAACAGAAAGATAGACCCTTACAAGCATAGCATACTGCGAGAGTTTATAGGTGAACAAGTGAGCGCTGGAGGCAAAATAGGTAAAACGATCCGAAATTCGATGAGGTGTAAGTCACCCGACGAACTAGTACAGAGACATAAAAGGTACTGTAAGCAATGTGAATGGGTAGTTTCTCTCCGTGGAAAATATATGACCTAATATGCATGGAGTATTCGCCGCCAGCGGGTTCTTAGGTTAATGAGCATTAAGGACCTTCCGTAACATACATACATTAGGTAGCAAAGAACATCTCGGACATGTAGTTAGATAATAGAAAAGTGCTAACTTAGCGTAGCTGCCTATGAACCGCACTCTGATGAGAGTATTGCAGTTGCCGCCAAAAGTAGCCGAAGGCGAAAAAGGAGCGATGGTACTTCAACGGCATTAGGAGTGAAGGATCAACGTGATCGAGCGGTTGTTACCAGTTTTTTCTATTTGACTTACACGTAAGTTAGGCGATGAAGATGGGCAGCGAAGACAGTGAGGAGAAGAAGCAGTTACCCAGCTCGGATGTGCCATATTTCGATGCAAAGCAGTCGATTGTGAAAAAACACGTGGACAAGAAGGGTGTGCCAGGTTTCGGTGGTTCATAATGCGGAAAAAGTGACCATATGTATGATGGTTTCAAGCGACGGGGACTTACAACACCCGAGACGGAAAATGCGACACGTTCAGCAAGAAGCTCCATATGTACAGATATTCCCTCTGTGACCAAAATGGGAGCAGATGAGCCTGGAGGACCGTCGTGAGGCGCTACCATGTGGAACACGTGTTCTTTCATCATAGCCCGAAGATAATATTGTCCTGAAAAGTCAGCAAGTTAAACTTGTGTGAGCTAACATGAGGACCCATAGCTAGGACTTACATTTCAGTGCAACAGGAAGCGGATACTCTGAAACTGCTGAGTAGATTGCTAACAAGGAAAAAGCAAGCTTCCAGTACAGAAAACGACAGCGGAAGATCAACGCAGACTATATGTAGCTTGTAGATAATGCAGTTGAGCGGTTGTAACTCAGTGAAGATAAACCTAGCGTAACATGAATTCTTTTGAGCCAAAAAGTCGAATGGTAGGTTTCAGTTTTCAGTTACACAACTGTGAACTGGTCACGGAGTTGCGGTGAATCCCGTTGCTATGAATGGCGTCGCCAGGATAACAATAATGAGAAAATGTGGTACGAAGCAAATAGTGACTGAAGAAAAGGGAGTAACCAGGATGTTAGTAAATCTAATGGGGACAGAGTAGTAACAGCAAGATAAAAGAAACCGAATGAACATGTATCACCAACTCCTCAGCAGTGCCATGTCCGATAGCGCCTCTAATCACTAATGTGGACTATGTCGGGGCCACCAGCCTGACAAGGTCTCTCGGTCAATTTCTCTACGTCGTTATGCCACGTAATCAAATCCGAGAAAAGCGATCAGCAGACATACGGAGAATATGAACTAACCAAATGTTGTAGCGCTTACCGCAACTTCCAGTCGTGTCTGTCACGCCATGCACCGCAGCCTGCAAATGATTGGGTGAGTGTCGTCGATATATCAATATCAAAGTCATTAAGCCCGTATCTTATTTGTTGCGGGACCGTCAAAAATCCCCGAAAAAACGCGCCAGAAACCCCGGCAGAATGGCTGTGGGAAGCGGAGTCCAATTCCTCCCCACAACGCAGCAGAGCTCAGCCACTCCGAGACGCGCCCCAACTGCGCACCTTTCGACAATGCTCATTTGCAAACTACCACCTCTGCGTGGTGACTGTTTTCCCTAACTTAATAACCCATAGCACTGGCTGTGATTGCCCTTTGTTGGTCGTAAAAGAGCCTACAGAGGACCACTTGCCTTTTCTTTCTCTTCGCCCCAGTTGGGAGTCGGTCGGGTCACTTGATTGCGCGTGAGTCGTTAGCTGGCCAGCCTTCGCGTCTAAGTCATTAGCGCGCGTCTATCGTACCCCCCTCTCGTGTGCGTCCGTTCCGAGGGCTCAGCAGCTAGGATCGTTCCCACGTTCGCTCAATTTTCCGTCTCACCGGCTAAGCTAGCGTCATCAGGTTAGCGCAACTCCGTTCGATTGGCCAGCGTTACAAGTCGTCATCTTAGGCGTGCTCCAACCGTGCCAGCGACAGTCTTATCAGGCAATTACGCAATCAGAACATAGGCGACGTTCCCTCAATTATAACATTATTTGACATACTTTTGTGAATACAGTGTCCTGAGCGTGTCCGCCCCTTGTTCTGGTTTCGTTAGTGGGTTCGACCCGTATTGATTTAAGACTCGGCTGCCGCAGGGGCCTAGTGTGCTTATTGGGCTACAACACCAAAGTGAGCAGTTCCATCATAGCAGTGGGGCACCAGGTTTTTTCCTAAATACCAACTGATAGACTCCATTACTTCTCACTCATCAGATGCGAGTACGAAGTGTCCAAGCTTCTCTCCCATAAACAACGGCGATCTAATAGCTGATATGCAAAGCAATCTCCACATGAGGTGAGGTAGTTTCCGAGAAAGTGGACCGATCGACCGCTTCCAAGAGTTTTTCGCGGATATGTGTGTCGGTCATGTCCCGCAACAAGAAGGTGGAAAGCACAAACGGAATGGCAACGGTCAATGCTGTGGAGCTTGCAGAGCTCCGCAAAATTTGCGCAGAGTTTGTATGAAGTCGGCTCAGAAATACCGTCAACATGTTGCGACTCAAACTGCGCAGTTAACAGCCGAGCTCTCATCAAGGACACCGCCGTTATGTGGCAATGCAAACTGCACAGACTTCACCTAAGCTCCCCAGTGATACCGCTGTATCAACGACATGAAGCCAAACTAGTAACAACCGAGTTTTCCATGGGAGATTGCAATTACGTGACAAGTAATGTCTTACCAACATTCAACATCTGCCCGCAGTTTGCCTACTACGCTTTTAGGCTAGTGATTTCTAAGTGCAAAAATGTAGACGGCATATTTACCTCAGCTGAATTAATAAACGGACTAGTATTGTCGTGCAATTTTTCTTTTCTGATTCTAGATGCAGTCGTTGGTGGTTTCGTCTCCGGTCTCAGCTAGCGTGTCCACACCCCTTTGGCGGCTAAACCATATAGGCCGTAGCGATTGGAAACCAATTGGTCACTCCGCGCGTGCGGTACTAACGGGGAAAACAGTTTCGTCCGTTCTGACTGGGAGAGTCGAAATAACTGGAACGTTTAATAACACATTAACCACTGAGAAAAAAAAGTTGATGTATGCAAATAGTGAGCAGAGACTGATAGCCTGTGTGTGTGGGCAGACGATGCAAAAGAATGCGTGACAAAAGTGGCGTACACGCGACAGTGTCTTCTTGCCACGAGTAGACAGGTAGGAATGTGTCAACAGCCGTTTGATTTGTTAGCCGAAAATCTGTATTAGCACAAGCTTGAAAACCATCAAGGTGATAGAACAATGACGCGGTGTCAGCGTGAGAGGAATGAAATTGAAAAACGAGGTCGAGGAGGAGCATTAACTGTTGGACGATGAAGCAACAAGTTCCGTTGGAGTAAAATGATGCGGTAGCAGGAACGGTTACGAAAATATTCTGCCAGGACGCAGATACTCTTTAGTTGCGATTAAAGCCAGCAGAGGGTGCATGAAAGACATGAATTGCACACAGTAGGGAAATTCTGTCTGCGGGAGTGCAGTAAACCCAATGCCCGATAGCAGACGAGACGGTACTGAGCTCATTGTCTGCTAAGATCGGGGTGGTACAATTTTCTGATAATTGTGCCCCAAATGGAATGATGCTGTCTGGTTCCCTAGAGCCAGGTCCGTAAAGGACGGACGGGATATTTTGTACCAATCTAAGGCGCATATAAACGCCATCGAGACAAAGTAAAAGCTCGTCTTTGTTCTGCTCTATCGGTTAAGTTAACCACCCGTAATTTAGGTAAAAGATGCGAAAGATCCGGTTGACTTGCGTCGCGTTGGCAAGGTGAGCGCCACAAGGAAATGAATAAGATTATTAGAAAGCTGAGTAAACTATACGAGCAAAAATATACGGTAGAACAAAAGCAGATTAATTATAGTAAAAAATTAAGAATGGAGCAGGAGGGCAGAATACAAGAAAATCGCTATGACAGTCTTCGTTGGCTGATGTGATAGATCCCGAGCCTTTCAATCAGGCAGATAGCACACACAGACAAGGACCAGTTTCTCTATAACACCGAGAACTAGCCGCGTCTGTAAATTGAACAAGCTAAGCTACGTGATCAACATTCGATCAAAAAGTATGACCTAGCCAACATGGGTGATGCGAGTGCAAGTCGGTCTACTAACCTGCTAACCTAATTCGTGATAGCCCAGTCAATGGAATCGTCTTTACGTATAACCGAATGAGGCATAAATTATCCGACGGCGTATGCTGCTTAGGGAAAGATCGAACTCCACAGAAAGTGAACCTGGATGAACAGAGAGAGGGCGTTACATGCTCGAATATGCCCATCGGGTTCAAAGAAGTGATCATAGTTCTTGCGAAAACCGAACAAATCCACAAAGTAACCGATCCGTGCATTTGGCCATTTAGTTCATTGAAGAGATTACTTCTACCATCTACATTGTTTCTGAAACGCTTAAAGACTTGATCATCTAGGTAGCTAAAGTAGACAGAGTATACTGGTAAAAATTAAGCTGTAGCGAGCTGCAACCGGGCCAAAGTTACTGTAAAATATCAAGCAGATGAAGAGTGTGTGTTGCCGCAACGAGGTGACTGATTCACTTGGATCATTAGTGACAGAAAGAAGTAGCTCAGACACGATGGGAGCAAGTACGTTTGTTGGTATTTGAAAGCGGAATGTCAACTACACCCAAAGTTTCTAAGCTGGTTTGGCTGTACTCTGTGTTCCGATCATCCAGCAAACCGGGACACTACTTGCTGACAATGTCTGGTTGGAGTGGGGTGAGCCAATGAAATGGTGTTGATGTATCAAGGGATTGACTCAGGGATAAACAGGACCCACAAAAGAGAAGGGTCAATGGATGACCTCATGCGCCTCGCTCAGAAATGGTAACAACGTGGCACCAAACCAGGTGTATGGGGCATCAGTTACAAACGAAACAAATTGACATGATGTAAAGTATCGTTACTGTGGAGAGAACGAAAGCATAAGCAAATGATGAACAAAGGATTGAGCAGTTAGTGATGCAAACACACGGGAAGAGGAGTAATTAGACATACGGGTTTTGTGAGAACGTGATTCAGTATGCGAGCGGCCCTCGTAGCCGCAAAGAAAGGTCAATGAGTGAACTGAAAAGTACCGTCCAAATGAGAATAGACGATGCGTTTCAGAGGAATTTCTAAGGCAATACAGTAGTTCGCTACGTGTAGCATAGAATGATAAAACGAAAAGGGAACATTTTCCGGCAGTGGGAGAGTGTTTGATTAGTGACGAAGCATCTAGATGCCTCAATTGCCCAACGGTTCGGGATGCTTCACATACACTGTGGGGCGTCATTAAGTGGATCGATGTCACCAGCCTAATCCAAGCCAGTGGTGCGCTTGCCTGGATGGAGCTCTACGAAATGTGCGCTTCCGAGTTAACGGGCAGGAAGGCTAAATGAGTGACTTCAAGAAACTACCCCGAAAAAGGTAAAATCAGGTGCAGGAAAAATAAACGAAAAACAGATAAGGGACATGCAACAGAAAGTTTAACGGTAACATTCGAGGGCTCCAGTGACAGACGATGACTGACCGGGGACTAATCCAACGAAGTTCGCCACTCCCAGCTTGTCCGTAAACTGATTTCCACGGTGGTCTTCACCAATCAGGGACACGAAAACGTCTAAAAAGGTAAGAAAAATGTATAACACTACGGGAAAAGGAGAAATGAAAAAACAGAGGCTGAGAAACAAGTTGAGCAGTGTCTCCCCACTACTGTGATGTTAGACACTGAAGCAACATCGATGCATATTGCTTACAGATATAGCGCCCGTACCGGAGAAATCCAAGAGTATCTGAGCGATGGCATGGCAAAACACATGAAGAACTGCACCATCGGTGCGTTTCGTCTTGCTAAAGGGCTTAGGTGACCAACTACATGCGCGTCAGAAGACGATTCTAAGTATGGAGCAAAGGAGATACCAGTGGACAAGTTGCACTTGCTCCCAGAATCTAATCGGCGCAATAATAATTCATTTTCACCTCCCAACTCATCACCTAACAGCCTCGCATAATTCGGGCCCTAACATCCGACTACTTCAACCGTGTGACTGTGACAAGGTGGAGTTTCGTGATCTGACGCATGAGCTTTGGTTCCGCGGATAAAAACAAAGAAACTTGGATGAATGACTGGTTTGAGACTGCCAAGCTCGGTTAGGAAGGCAAACGGATGGGAAATCATGGGAAGGAAACTTGTAATAAAAATGAGGAAGAAAAACGGATCGACATGAGTGAAGTTAGCTTGCTTGAATATTAAACAGAAGGCCTCGAGCTAGAAGGGAAGCCAAAATCTATGGATGGTGATTAAATGACGAGAGCATCGGTGAAGCTGATGCTAGGTGTCAACAGTAAACGAAATTTTTGGGGACATCTCAAAGCGCGGTGTTAGTAGGTTTTACAGAGATGCTGTACTGACGCTTTATGAGAGGAATAAGCAGCACACTAGTGCACCACACCAAAGTTTTGCTGCTACGCAACCACTCAGTCGTGTGCGGCCTACGGACACTATGAGGTGGCGTAAACTCCCACAGACTCGAACTGGTGACCTCTGAATAACAAAACAGACACATCACTTATTCTGCCAACTGCCGACTTGGCGTAGAAAGTTACCAAAAAAACACACGAGAAAAGCAGAAAGCAGCGCGAACCATGATCATCATCGGCATCATTGATGCTGCCATCGTGATAGGCAGCGTTGTCGATAATAGTACATTGGTGCTTCGCACTGATACCCCGCTGCAAAGGAACACTAGTGCCTCAATTATGTGTGAAGCACAAACACCCGAAGCAGACAGTTGGAGGTTAGATGCTGGTTTACACATTGTCATCAAGACAGGGAGTAAGTTAGCTCAGAAATAGTGACATTCAAGCGTGCCGGGTGTGTTTCGTAAATCACAAAATTGTGCACCGTTGTCAACTAGTGGTCACCATGTGTAAAATCCAAAATCGAGGGGACATTAATGAGCGTTACAACCCTTAGCACAACCGAGGAAAAAACTGGCAACACTGGACGATCATGACTGTCCTTAGACAAAGGAAATCATGGAAAAAGCGTACGTTTTAAAAACGGGGTGAGCTAAATATTCGACGATTGATAAGTTGATCGGATGTAGACCATGCTCCGACCAATCAGCGTGCAGCATGTGAGGTCATCTTTAATGCAGCTTGCGCTGCTGGCCTACTAAGTGTTACGAAGCGCTTCGAGTCGAGCTATAGGGCTAGGTAACCGGGAGCAATCTCTTCTCTTTAACGGAGGCAACAATGCTTTGTACAGAGAAACAGAACGCTCGTAAGCAAACAATGAAGCATACAAAGTGATGATAACCAAAATACTACCGAAGTATCGCTGGAGGTAAAAACTAATCCGTTTAATTTGAACGATTTTTCGCCGTGTGTTAGCTGGGCAGTCAGTGTGCAGATACGGGACTCGATGCAACTGATCGAAAGTGGGAACCAGACCAAGTGAAGTGTGTCTAAGTGGTTGCGCCGCGGCCCCATTTGACTGAGATGGATTTCAGCTACCACACGTGCTAAGCAGCTGTCAAAAAGGTTAATTCAGCAGGACTTTATCTGCGTTAGTGAAAACGGAACATCCAATGAACAATAAAATTTGAAGTGTTTCGTGTGCTTCGTAGTTGGAGCTATAAACACGAAGGGTCGAAATGACTGTGGAAAAACGGTCTCCCCATAAGTAGAGCATTAATTTAAACAGATACATCATTACCCAGCAGCATGACGATCCATGTGGCGTGGAATAACAAGAGAGGGGAAGGAAAATCGAAGGTAAAACCTGAACGTCCTAAGCAAATATTCTGGGTCAAGGAGCCTTCTTGGTTTCAACAAAAAACGACGAAAAAGGTATAGCTATGGTCGGTAGCGACAAATCGGCCTTGGAACTTGGGCAACTCCTAGCGTAGCCGGGTCAATCCAAAAGTCAAAGCCGGAAGAGCTAAAGTGCTATTTACAAATGGTTAGATAACAATTTAATAACAAACCTCAAACAATTTCCGCACCAAATGTGTACAATAATTCGGTTGTCAAATGCAACGTGCTGCCAACAGCAATGGTCAAGAGATAAGCACAATGAGGCGAAGCGGTTCTAATGTCAGCGTAGTTTAAGGCGAAGTGATCAATCGTCAATTGATCAGCCAATGAGCAGTGCACATGGAACGCGGGCGGGAGTAGCAAGCTTAATCATTGAGCGATGCAAGACGGGTAAACTCTTTTGATTAATCAAGGTCCAAATGTGAATGAGAAACAAAGTAACTGAGGTTTTATCGTGCAAAGTCCAATAAGCAATCAAGGGGTAGTGATTGATCGTTTTGGGGTCAATCAATAGGGGAAATCTCCAGAGAGGTTGAACAAGTTGATTTGTCCGTTACAATGGCACCAAGATAAGGTGACATCATTAAAACAGCTCCGATGTGCCCTTCATTGCCCCGAGTCATAACCAATCTCACCACGCAGATAACATCAGTAAACGCACTGAAAGCAAACAGTCCAATTAAGAGACAGCAACAAGAGTGCCACTGCTGCGAGCCACGTTCTGTAGAGTATGGAGTCAATCAAATGATGAGCCACGTGGACTCCAACGTGGAAGCCCAGATGGACCAACAGCACTCAGTTTAGTGATCCGCGACTTCATCTCTCGCTGCGATGTAAGCATTTGCTGCCCTAGAGTCTTGCACCATGCCAAACTAACCAAACAGGTCGCTTTTAGTAAAGGTGAACGGAGATGCGCAGTGCATGCAAAGACAACACAGCCTTTTCGATATCGCTTGTTGATTTAGAGAAGTAACTTCAGGCCAATTCTCTAATACCCAACTGTTCATCACTTACATGCAGACATAGTTTAGATTGAAACCAGTAATGCAACCAAGACAATGATGATCACAAAATGCAAGGTATTCCAGACCCTCAGACTGATATGCCAGTCCTCAGTCTCCTGGTAGTGGCAAGGCATTTGTTGTGACTGTATTTACAGCAGTTAGGGTAAAAAGTTGTTCTAGTGCCACAGATGTCACAGATTCAAGAATGAAGTTCTATCTTTTGTAACCAAGAAGTTATTTTCGACACAGTGCATGTATGGTTTCAGATTGGGGCATGCAACAAATTGCAAATGTAAAGCAGTCTCCCGACAGAAGACAGAGACAACAGTCCGAGTAAGGGATTCGACAGACCGAGGGGAACCGCACCCAAAGTCATCATCAACAGCAAAACATCAGCCATTTGAACTGATGCCTCGCTGCCATAAAACCGTAATGACCTGCGGAACGAAGAACAATAAGTGGGAGACCTATGGTAAAACCTAATTGAACTAAACAAGTACTTGGGATCAAGGCAGTTACACTTTGTCAACAACATACCGTCACAAACAGCTGGCTACCGTGCAAAGATAAGGTGGCATCGGCGAGCCAGATTCCGTGCCGCTTTCACTGCCCCGCGTCATAATCAGTCACTATAAGGCAGATAACTCAGCAGCAAACACATGTTAAACAGGCAGTCCAACTGGAAGACGGCAAAAGACGCCATTGGTGTCGACTGCAAGCCATGTCCTATAAAGTATCGAGCCAAGCAAAAGGCGAGTCACGTGGACTCCAGCATGGAAGGCAACCAGTTTGGTCGTCGGTGACTTCATTTCCTGCTGTTAAGTCAATGTTTGTCCACCTCGAGCTCAAGTTGGTTACTATGTGCGCGCATTATCTGAAGCTGTTGAAAGGGGCTCCGCGTATATATGTATTATACATGTTGAGAGATCCGATAGTAGCGCAAACACATGGATTCGAAATGTTGCACCGCGGAATATCGTATGGTAGCAGGACAAATAGCTGTGGTTGTTTAAAATCCCGGGATTATGGAAACGATCAACAAACAGTTGAGGAAATTTTAATCGAAAGAATTTGGAAACTTCCGACACTAAACGTGGCTAGGTTTAGCAGTCACGCAGCGATAGCTACTGACACAGCTGTAAAGGTAGGAGAATTGATAAAAGTCAAATGGCAGCCGAGTGACTGGTGGTCCTACAACATGTTAAGGAGCAAAGCGCATGCTGAAGACTAAGGCAAGCCAAGAAAGCCTATATGGAGTTGTCTGTGCTGCCATATGATAGTCAAATGGTAAGGTGATATCGCCCGCGTAATACTGATAAACAAATTTCCCACCGGGACAAGACCCAATGCTAACACAACGTAAAAGCCCACAGATGAACTCTCCGTAACGGTGTCTGGGATAAAATTGCACATGAAATGGATTAGATGCGGTAAACGCCACCTGTTGTCAGGAGAGGTGTACAATTCACCGTAGAACTACTTTTGGTGTTTAAACACAGGATATGTGAAATGTTCGAATTGTATGGAAGAACCTGTTGAGCAAGTACGTTGGAGGGGACGAAGTGACCGACCGAGCCGAATGCACTCATGAAAATAAGAAACAAGGCAATAGTCCGCTTTTGACAAGTGTGGCACTACTGACGCCTGTCACAGAGCAAACAGATAGTCTATACGGCCCGCCCCCGGGAGTGAACCAGTCTGCTCTTCCTTAACTCGTGGTACATCGAGACCCTTGTGCCTAAATGCTGCGAAGCTGGAAACAGTCGAAGATCGGTGCACGAGTGCTCGATGCGCGCCATCGCTTAAGCAATCGGTGAGCATTTCAAAATGCCCACAAAACTGGACTTATAAGTCGAGTCAAACTTGCGCATTCACTTGTCCAACAACTAGATAATATGAACTGGTAGCGCTGCGAAGTAGTGTTCTAATTTCTTGAAAGGAGACGACTTTGGTAATATCGGTGCATCGGCGGCAACTACAAAGTAACAGCATCTAGCGCTGTCACAAGGGCTAATCACAGGTAACATCACAAATTCGCCAAACAGTGTCTAGACACTGTGCCGTACATAAATGCTGTACTGAGAAGCCGTGGTTCCCGCGAACTAATGCTGTCCTCTGCAAAATTGGTAATTTGCATGGCAACGGAGGATGAGCCGTGTTATATCGCACTTGGCCATCAATCATGGCGATCAGCAATCATTCAACATGGTCTAATAGTATAAGTATTGCAGCTGTTGCCAGTTACAATGGGGCTAATAGAAAGAAAATTAGTAATTAGGTTCTAGCAGAATGAAAAAGAAAGAAAGTGGCGTCAGAAGTAGTACGCAGCCACTTAATCGCTCTGATGCATGCAGGAAATAAAATGACCGCTTTGAAAATGCGCGAGGGCAGGTGAAGAGTGCGGCCAGAGGCTGTGGGGATAACTGCAACGGGATACTCTAAAAGTGCCTAAACCTAAACCTGAGAACGATTAAGATCCTCGGTAAGTCATTAGCTCCTGGGTACGAAGACAAGAACATGACAATGACTAGGCTCTACAAAAATGGACACCATGCCAGTTCCAACCCCCGAACAATTGGAAAGCGGAAATTGAATCGATCTGACATCTATCCATGGGGACCACCCAATATAGCTCAGTGATTCGAAGATTTGTAAACCAGCGTATCAAGTTAAGATCCAGGCTCATTGCGGCATATCTAGTCAGCATGCACCGACAGAAAGATGCAAACTCCGCGGTGCTCCTAGGATTGCACGATCACCACGGCACACGAGCCTAGATGTAAACCAAAGGTGCCAAGAAGCATAGTTAGTAACGGAGACAGAAGGTCTCGGATACAATCCGAAAAATAGATAAATATGCATGACAAAATGGTCATGACAGACATACATGTGCGAGAAACAGAATAGCGGTAATATTTACCTTGCAAAGGCAACAATTCATTTGCAGTGTCAGATTTGACCTTAACGACGACTTCGACAAGGGATAATTTGGTTGCCTTAAATAGCCAATTCAATGAGGATGACTTCGAATCCACGGTGCTGTCTAATGGTACTTCAGCAAACTCGTATCCAGGTTTTCGTAAAGCAACCTTGAAGCAAACCGACGGATCTGCCAGCACATTCGACAGGCGAGGCCATGAAAGACAAGCTGGAACCCGAACGGGACCGAAAAGAAACATCCCGAAGGAATCAGTCAACGTGGTTGCTATCGGAGACGATTGGAGGGTGGTTTCCGTCGCTGTAACCGAGATAGTGCCTCTGGACTGATTAGTGCCGGTGGATGGCATTGTTCTATCATCATGAAACGGAAGTAGAGGCTGACGGTAAGTATGCCAGTCCAGATCCTCAGTTGACTCCCTTAGTGTCCCAGGGTTGCTGTATAGCTCAACATTCACCTGTACGGTAAATATGAAGGGGCAACAAATAACGTAAAAGCGAACAAAATTGCCACCTGAAATTGCAGTAACCAGCTGGGACATACAATGGGTGACTGGCTAGGATGAAACTGTTAGCAGAGTATGGTGTTGAGGTGATGACAAGAATTGATATATGCAGAAATAGCCACAGTATATAAAGAAGAAAGAACCTTGTCCCAAGCCCAAACACATGACATAACTACCAAAAAACAAAAGAGCAGGCAAATATCACTCGCAGAATCCTGTGTCACTGTGATGAGGGAGTATGCTGAAAACCTCTGGGTGCTATATTCAGGACCAACCTCCGGTCATGTCTACCTGAGGGATCTGAACAAGGATAAAGCCTAGTTGGGAGACATCAACACTGTTCAGAGAGAAGAGGATTGAGGGGAATTCGGAGCCGAGTTCTGGAGGGCGATCAGTTCTAAAGTAAATCGTAGCGCAAACTGATCGTAACAAAGCAGCAATTAATGGCAGTGTGAACGTGATTAGGAATTCAATCGAGGGTAAGCATGCAAAACAATAATGTAATGGTGCAAGGAGAAAACAGCCACCCGTTTGGTAAACTGTTTAAATGCCGGTGCAAAACATTCATAAATGAAAAGCACCTAGAGTATACCAACAAGGTATAAAAAGTTACACGAGTCAACGGCTGTAAAAATGTCTAGCAAGCGGAAAAGCTGTTACGAGCTACCTCTATCTGTCAGCTCCGAACCTCAGTCAAAACTCAGAAGTCAACGCTTGAAGGCAAAAGCGTGTCGCGGAACCAGCTACCGAAACGGATAAAAGTAGTCTGAAAGCAAGGGGCATTCTTATAATGCAACCAAGGAAGTTTCACACAGTAGAACAGCTAGGTCAGCTGTCCTGATTGGTAGATCAGTTCCGCTAGCCAATGGGAAGGTTGGTGCGCACGTCGTATGGACGCAAACGTTCCTGAAACCACTTGATGTTTCGGCTGTACACCATTAGCCCAGCTTGTATGATACGGCCGGATCATGTATGATACCGGAGAATATCGACTCGAATGCACCAGAGAAAACATGATCATTTAGGATGAGCTGCTACAAACCGCTTCTTATGCTCTTCTTTAATGCAACCTCCTATGCGGTTTTACTCCTTTCAAACTTAATTCATACCAACTGTCTTCTGTTTAAAACCGAGAGCAAAATTATTTACTGGTGTGGCGCCAGGAACAATTTTCGCAATTTTCCCCACAAATCGATTAATTCGTAATATTGTTCTGCGATCCCCTTCGCAACATTTGTTCTGCAGTGCTAATCGTTTCCCCTTCTTTTCTGAAGTTAACAGTCCAGAAACATATACTTGAATTCAGTGATGGCAATAACTGATTCCCTATGCGACTTTTGCCTATGGACAACTCGTACAGTTATTTGTCACCGGCTGTCACGCCACACAATTTGATCGTATGATCGGCACGATCCATTTATACGCCGAGGTAAAAAACATACCAGCCTATTTTTTACATTAACGATATAGTACCTGTTTCACATAATGCTTCTTTTCTACATTCTTTCTTATTTCATTGTTGGCCACGACTGGGCTGATCTCATTTGATGACGGATTATAGCTTCCAGATTATAAAAGACTTTACCTATGCAAGGCACATTGCCACAAATTGACTGGCGTATAAAAAAGTGCCATTATTGAATGATCCGCATGACGGACTGGGCTGAGGCTTCAGCGCTCATAATACATGTATAAAAGCAGCCCTAAAAAGAATAGAACATATGATAAACAGGTGATGGCTCATATGCTACTATGCCACACTGGCACGCGGCCAGACATTGCATGGAAGTGCGGGTGAAACCTTTCGAGAGAATACCTTGTATGGAAGCAGGTCCCATGGGGATGGTTCCACGAGTGGCCGTATTACCTTAACTAAACATCTGTTTATAACTGCAAATGTTATTGTTCCCGTATTCTTTTAATTTCTTTAATGCCTTAATCCTGCCAATTACTTTAGTCCCTGTTTTGAATCCATTGTAAAAAGGGTGAACAAACTGATTACTTTTTGCGATCCTGTTGTACACATTGATTAGACCACATAGTTGGACTGCACCTCGAATCACCGAGGAATATACCATTTATTTATTTTCACACTGAATTACGGAGTTTTCCAAGGAGATCTTACTTTCCCTGAGAGAAGCACTGAATCCCACAGGGATGAGATCGCCAATTCTGTCCGGACGTGGGCTCATGGGCCAGGCGCGTTAGTAGCTTATGATATGCTTCGATATGGTGCGGTCGATAACGCAGTGGAGAATGTGAATTCGGAGCTTTATCCAACCTGAAAACTCGACTACGTTAACAGAGCAAGAACAACGAACATTTCTATGGAATATGCTGAATTCAGTATATATGTGTTTATCAGCTTAACAGTTCTTGCGGCAGCATGTAAATTGGCCGGGCGGAGAGGAGGTTGTCCACTCGGATTTCAGAACACGTCTCATGGAACCTTGCTCGCCGTGGTGCAACATTACCTGCCAGCTCCGTTGCCCGGCACTTATTCAACTGATCCATGTGCCAGAATCCCCACAAAGCATTCAAGGTCATCAACAGACAGATCAAACCCAAGTTGTTGCTTTGTGCTGAAGCTTCCGCCATCCGGCGATTGAAGCCTAACCTATGTACACAACTTGAGTTCGTGACCAATCCTGCTTTGCCTTGGTGAGACAAGACAGGCCAGCCAACGCAACTAACCATCGATTGCTGGTACTGACCTATTACTCCTAATTGCTTGACATTTTCACCCATTATATGTAAGCGGAGAATACACGAAATATACTTGGCTATAGCAATGAAAACTGGTAGCTCACATTGTTCAGATGGCTGTTGAACTGTTCGCTGAGTTTGGCAATTTTGTTGCAACAAAATTGCCAAGCTTAGCGCACAGTTGGACAGCCACGAAATATACTAAATTGGTGCGGTGACAACTAATAGTACCACAAGCAGATGCTCCTGCGTCGCGCATGACGGCGGAGATCCTATTCCACTGAAGCTCAGTGTCATTAGGACAAGATTGAGGAAGTTCAGTATGCAGTGCGTCTTGATAGGCTTGCCTGACCGAGGACTGAGACAATTTCTCAGTTGCCAATTGCAAGAGACGCTTGGTGCGCCTCCCGGTAAATTTCATGGAGAAACCACAGCGTAACAAGGCATGATCAGAGTCGACACTAGTACTCCAGTACGAGCGGCAATCCAAGATGGAATCACGCCACCTGTAAATTATGGCTATGTGGTCAATTTAGGTCCATCGCTGGCCAGCTACAGGTGGACGCCAAGTGGGGCTTCGGCGCCCACTGCGTCTAAAAGCAGTGCTATTAAGAAACAACTGGTGTTCCGCACACAGTTGCAGCAGACGCTGGCCGTTGTCAGTCCGTTCGGAGTTAAGTCCGTAAGTACCACCCAGCTGAGCTTCTGAAGAGCTCAGGCGCCCTATTTGTGCGTTCATATCATCTGCAAGTACTATAATATCTGAACTAGTAGTACTGCGTAGTAGCGCGTTCAGTTCGTGATAAAATGTGCCTTTGACAGTATTAGAACTGCAGTAGGTGGGATCGTAAACGGAAATCACAAACAAACAGCGTTTTGTTTTACTTAGCGATTTCACCTTAGTTGATGTCGTCAAACGGGCTGCACATAAACGACTATTCACCGGAATCCAATCAACCGACCGTGGCTCACCCTTGGAGCTTAGAATGATACGTACACCAGCTTGACCCGTGAGTGCTGTTTCGACATCTCCGGATGCGTGCAACCAATAACGAGAGGATAAGCCGGGTGCAGTCAATTCAATAACCCCGTTAGGGTCATTGATCCTAGTTTCGGACACACAAAACACATCAATACCCAGTGTGTCAATGGCCGAGTACAAATAGGATGTGATGTGGAAAGCAAATGCCGAGTCACAAAGATGCGAAAGTCGCAGACTGCTGTGAATCACGATATCATGAAAAGCGTACTGATGGAGCAACTGGTGCAGAATGAACCTGCTCATGAGACATTTCTTGCCTGAGTTCCAAAATGGATGAAAAAAGAGGAGAAAATCAACAGTCCATCATGTTCCTGCATCACAAAGCAAGAAGCAAGTGACAAAAACGCTCAGACACTTAGAGCCACGTAGAATAGAAGCCGGTGCATTCGGATTACCACGATTACAACACAGGGGACAACAGTTCCCCTGCGCGCCGAGCTTCGTAATTGGTATGCAAATGTTTCATCACCAAACGAGGTGACTTCCTCAGTGAGTTGCTAAGTCAAATGTACTCCGCTGGCTTGGTGGTCGATTTGTGAACGGGTAGCAAGTGACTTTTGAATTGACCTCCTCGATCTGTGCCCCGTGACCATCCGCCTGACCAACTTCTTTGATAGACACAGACGATCCGTGAGATGATTTTGCCCCGGCTGTTGCGGCTGGCTTGTTGACGGCTCGTTAAGTTGCCCACGCGGTTTTTAAGCTATTTTAATTCTCTCCGTCTGAGCGTTTCGTAAACTGAGTCTATCTCGACTTGTACCTCTATCGAGTGCTTCGTCGAGTACCATGCTTAGTGGAACTCTCTTCCTTTTCGTGTCTCTCCCTGTGCTAGGACCTCTGCGTTGTTCCAATCGAAGTGGTCCTTCTTCGTCTGTGTGGATTGAAACCGATGAGAGAGCGTAATGGTTCTTACAAGCTCTCTTATGCTCTTGTATTCTTGTAGACAGTCGCCTTCCTGTCTGAACCACATAGTTCTTATCGCAACCTTGACACCGTACCTTGTAAAGAACATTTCCTGGGTTTCAGGTCTAGCTTTGGGGTTCGACAGCGTTCTCCTCAATGTGGCAATTGGTTTGTGAGACACTGTAAGACCGTGCTGTTTGAATAATCTTGCTGTCATCTCGGAGATGTTCTTTACACAAGGTAAAGCGATTCTCTTTGTTGTCATTTGAGCACGCTGAGATCGTAGCTTTGTTGTTTAGGC